CATCATCATCATCATCATCATCAGCAGGAGCAGCAAAAACCGCATAATGAGCAGAAGCAGCAGCAGCATAGTCATCATCATCGTCATCCTCCTCCTGATCATCCTTCACCTCCTCCTCCTCATCCTCCTTCTCCTTCTCCTCCGCATCATCATCATCGTCACTGTCGTCATCACCTTCATCATCATCATCAGCATCATCATCATCATCGACATCATCATAATCATCATAGTCATCAACATCAGCTGCATCATCACCATCATCATCATCATGATCAGTATCATTAACATTATCATTATCATAAGCATCGCCGCCAGCATCATTGTCATCATCACCGCTAGCATAGGCATCATCAATCCTCATCATCACCAGCGTCATCAACAGCAACATCGTCATTGTCAACATCATGGCCAACAACAAAATCGGCAGCTACAACAACAATAACAACAACAAGTATCAGTTTGAGACTGTTCGCTCCGATCTGCTCGCGTGTCACTCATCAAGTACATCCCAAACCCTCGATGCCCGCTCTCTCATTCTTCGATCGTACCCCTTTTGGGGGATATCTTCCTCACCTGCCACGTGCATTTAGCGCAGCCCCTAAAACAAGGGAAAACAGGGCCTCGGAGGACGACAGCGGGACCACGAAGGGCACGCATATGGGGCCACGACGGGCGCGAGCGAGCGGGGGCCAGTGAAGGGCATACGCACATGGGGCCACAAAAGGCGACACCTGGACCACGAAGGGCAGTAATTGAGCCACGAAGGGCAGCAAAGGGGCAAGGGAAGGCGACAGCGGGGCCAAAACGGGCATGCATATAGGGCCACGACGGGCGCGAGCGAGCGGGGGCCACGAAGAACACACGTATATGGGGCCACATGGTGCGACACCGGAACCACGAAGGGCAGTAATTGGGCCACGAAGGGCAGCAAGGGGGCCAGGAAGGGCGACAGTGGGGCCACGAAGGGCGTGCATATGGGGCCACGACGGGCGCGAGCGAGCGGGGAATTGTCACGAAACCGCCCCCTGCGGCGCAGCGAAAAGCATGAGAGCGCATGCCCCTGGAAAGCCCAGAGACTCTAGTGCAAGCGCATGCCCGTGAAGCCCAGAAGCTTAGTGCAAGCGACTGGGGCCTTGACCTGAGGCTTGCTTGGCGAGGGAGTTGTGAATTCCACACCGCGTCGCTCCGCTTTGTCCTAATCTCTGCTTCACGTGCGCAGGCCCTCGACATGCTGACCTGCACTCCCCCCTGCCTGCCCGCCCCACGCATCGAGCCACTCGCACCCAGCAACCTGGGGGGTCACTACACCTCAAGGTAGAACCAAATCCGCAAGCGGCGAGGTGGCATCAGGCGGGAGCCGCTGTTGCTATAGGTCGGGGGCCAGGGGCCCAATTTGACCCTCAGGACTTTCCCATACGAAAGCGGGGTGCGAGCCCTGAGAGGGGCATCTCAAAATGCGAAAAATACCATGTGCGCCAGAGGCGTATGATCAACAACCATTATTATTCAGAAGTGAGAGTTCACCAAAATCAGCAACAACTACAGCAATCACACAAACAACAACAACCAGCTTACGACTTTCCGCTCACATCAGCTCGCTTACCATTCAACACGTATATCCCAAACCATCGATACCCGCCCCCTTCGTCTTCGATCGTACCCCCATTGGGGGCATATCTTTCTCACCTGCAGCGTGTATGTCGTGCAGCCCCTGAGGCAGGGGAAGAGGGGACGGATGGAAGGAAGGGACAAAGGTGAGGGAGAAGGATGGGACACGGGAGAGATTAGCAGGAGGGGGACTAGGAGCAGAAAACACGTGGCAGAACCAGATAGGCAGATCGGGCGGGTAGATCCGAAGGGGCGGGTCGGAGAGGAGGGTCCAGGCGGCCAGGTCGAGCTGGCGGGTTGCTGAAGAGTGCGTCCTCCATGAATCGCGAGGACGCCTCGAGCGACAGCGCGATTCCCAAACAAATCGCGAGGAAATCCACAGCGAGAGCATGATTCCTGAGTCGCTTGAATAATCTGTGAAAAAAAGTCCCACGCGAGAGCGCGATTCCTGCAATAACGTGTGAGGACGTCCCGCGCGTGAGCTACCTCCCTGACCTTCCAGTGGAATTTAGCGCAGCCCCTGAAACAGGGGAAGAGAGGACGGATGGAAGGGAGATGGAGAAAGATGGAGCACTAGGGGGCCACGTGCGAACCCTACCCCTACCCCCCACGATTTCTGAGGGGGAGGGTGGGGTTCGCTTCGCTCGGGAGCTCCCGCACGAAGTGAACCCCCACCCCCCCTCTCAAAAATAGTGGGGGGTAGGGGTAGGGTTCGCACGTTGCCCCCTAAGCACGTGAGACAGTAGGACCAGGGGGGCCTAGGAGCAGAAAACACGTGGCAGAACCAGACGAGCAGATCGGGCGGGCAAACCCTATCGCGCGGGTCGGGGATGCGGGCCCCGACGGCCACGTCGAGCATGCGGGTTGCGGAACCGTGGGTCCTCCGTGAATCGCGGGGAGGTGTCGATCGATAGCGCGATGCCCAAGTAAGACGTGGGACCGGCCAAAGAGAGAGCGTGATTCCTGAATGCCGAGGGCGCGGCGTCTGAACAAACTGCGAGGACGTCCAACGCGAGAGCGCGATCCCTCCATAAATTGTAAGAGAGTCCCGTGCCAGAGCGCGATGTTGTGAAATGTCAGGCGGGAGCCGTTGCTGTTGTACGTCGAGGCCCAACGACGCAGTTTGGTGACACGAATCTTTCCCTGATAAGAAACAGGGTGCGAGCCCTTGGAGAAACGCCTTGCATGAAAAATACAAAGGTCACAGGAGCGGGGATCAACACTATTGAACAACCACAATCAGTTCAAGAATGTTCGCTCCGATCTGCTCGCGTGCCACTCAACACGTATATCCCAAACCCTCGGTACCCGCCCTCTTCGTTTTCGATCGCACCCACCTGGGGGCATAATCTTCCTTGCCTGCCAAGTGCATGTAGCGCAGCCCCTAAAACAGGGGAAGCGATGACATAATGAAGAGGGAGGGTGAAGGATGAAGCACGGGAGAGATTAGCAGGAGGGGGACTAGGAGCAGAAAACACGTGGCAGAACCAGACGGGCTGATCGGGCGGGTAGACCCTAATGGGCGGGTCGGAAGGCGGGCCCATGCGGCCAGGTCGAGCAAGCGGGCTGCTGAAGCGCGCCCTGAATGAATCGCGATGAAGTCTCGAGTGATAGCGCGATTTCTGAGTACCTCAACAAAAAGCCAAAGCGAGAGCGCGAGACCTGAGCGTCGAGGGCGCGGCATCCAAATGAATTGCGAGGACGTCCCACGCGAGAGCGCGATTCCTGAACAACGTATGAAGAAGTCCCGCGCGGGAGCGCGAT